TGAAAGAAGAAACAATTCTTACACAAGCCCAGATGATAACGGGGACTCACTAGGAGACTACAGACTGTTAAGAACTCAGTGAAACTCCTTTGCACAACAGAACAACCGGGTGGAGAAACAATTATAAAAAATCAAAAACATCAGATGAGGAAAACATCCAAGCAAAAGGGATGCGAGCAAACATTCGAAATAATGACAATAGGGCACCCAAGTAATCAATCGATAACTTGTAATTTCAAAAGACGAGGGGACAGACAGAAAAATGAACGACTAAAGAGGAAGTAAGGCTCTGTCAAACTACACAAACGAACTACAAAGTGATATCGACGGCGATAATGAATAGGAAGAGGTGATGACAGCAAAGTTGCAGCATTTTCCCGAAAGAAAACGACCGGGTCATTGTTTTTCAATCAAAAATTATTTTATGGCTACGCATACCCCTAGCCCTTTGAAGATGATAAGAAGATGTGGTAAAAACAGGATCACCAAGAAATCGACAACACAGAAAACATTTCGCAAAGTAACTACACAAGGGCCTTGTGCTAAGAGTAATGATGTGTATATCAGTTACAGAAATGAATTTCCACTATCTTAAAACTTACAATGAGGCTCGCCTATAGGGGATTGAATGCCTAACACCAAGGAGATGAAAAATAGGAAACAAACAAGATTTGCGACTTATTCGAAACGCCTCTATACATAGAGTTCACCTAACCACAACAATCAACGAAAGGAAAAATCTGGCAAAAATCAAAACCGAAACCAATCGACCGAACCTATCTCACAGCTTCCAATAATCGATCTCAAACTATAGAGAATAACGGTAACAACACGATACAAGTACAGACATCTCTCTTCATTGTGGTAAATTAGAAACAGGAGAAAGCGCAAAACAAATGTGAGAAACTAAGACGTAAGCATCTATCATAGCGATAAATGAAATTCGTAATGGGTAAAGAAGCCAAAAAAGGGAAACAACAAAACGAACAAAAGGAAATTAGGGAATATAATGAGTACTTTGAATTCCCTGTAATTGACCGAGAAATAGGCTCGCGAGCTCGAACAGAGCTCGAGCCTAAGCTCGATTATTTTTGAGGCCTCGAGCTTTCGGTTTTTTACATCATTTCAAAACACAAATAACGGAAAAGAAAAAAAAAGGTTGTAATCTTACGTACGCAATTTCCATCGACTTATCAACTTATTAATTTGGTATATTGACGAGTAACAAAAAATAAGAAAGGGTGAAATTCAAAAACAACGCGTTCACGTAAACTTCACGTGAACCACGCGATCACGTAACTTCCACGTGTACTAACTTCTACCGTTTAAAATGATGAACTGGCAATATGATCCTTGTATTCTGAAGCTGTTAGAAAAAACCACATTAGAAAGCCTCTTCAAAGAATATTTTAAAACTGTGTATGGAAAAGATAAAGTGCAAGAGATGGAGAACGCACTCCGAAACGCGTTGAATAGATACGAAAACAAGAATGAGCTTTTCGAGGTAGGTTTATATATTTTTTATATATTATGTTCACTATACAGTTCAGAAACTTGTGGAGAACAAAGAAAATGAAGCTGAACCACTCAACAGTGGAAAAAACCACACACCAGAAAGTATGCTCACTTTATCCAGAATCTTCATAAAAGTCGGTGATTACCGTCTTGCATGCGAAGTTCTCTGGTGTACTGTTTTTCTGGACATCCAAGGTTTTTTTTTCTTATAATTTATTCAATACATTCGTTTTAAGAATTCATATCGAGTCGTCAGCTCCTTGTATTCCATGACGTTTCTAATAAAGATGCATCAAAAATGTTCGATTTCTAATGTGTTCACTAAAGCAAGAAATTCCAAATTTGTAGAACTTGGTAGACCTCTCTTCAGATTAGTCTTTAATTTTTATAATACCAATGGTGTAACAATCGACATTCATCGATATCTATGAATTTTGAAAAAAGTATGAAAATTGACAGTTGTGTTTTGATACACAACTAGCATCTTCAACTAGCATAGACCTTCAAGCCCTTTCCACAAGTACAGATTGGTTGCATTCTTGAACACTGACCTTCTCTAGAAGATACTGACGTTTGTCATGTCAGAGGTATAACCATCTAAGTATATCCAATTAGGTTAATACTATAATGATGTATGTCCATATTTTTTGTGGAACCCGACATGATCATGAGACATGAG